CACACACACACACACACACACACACACACCACTCCCAAACAAAAAAGTTTATAACTATTGAACCGCTTTTAGAAGAGTAACAAAGCTTACCTCTTGTACTTTTCAAGCCTTATCAGTATCGAGTTTCTGCGATTTTCGAAATATTTTTTTAAAAATTGTTATTAATCCCCCATGAGGAATCCTGTGTACAATGGCTGGTTCGAAGAATGCATCAATTAATACCTATTATAACGGTTGCAGCAACAGCATGTTATAATATACAATACTCTGACAATGACACTAATACACTGTTTGCCCGCCGCCACAGTGCAAAATATACGCTTGTTGGGTTGGGGGGGGGGGGTTGTTAGTTTTATTATTTGTTTGTTTGTTTGTTGTGTGTTTGCTGTGGGTTTTTTCGCCACGTCTAGCTTATCCTGTTCAAGGAGGTACCTGCAAAGACTATGACCCTAAGAAGAGCTGTGTCGTCGACATCGTTCTGTAAATTGCATTTGAAGACTACAGGGGGGAAAACGACGTTAGTCACAAACTGAAAATCGTGATGGTACCAATTTTGACCGCTTGTTGACTCTTAGCTGTATTTCTGTTCAACCGTTAATTGATTATTGTACAAAGATGAAGTTATGAGTACAAAAGCTTTTAAAATTGGCACCCTCACAAAATACCAGTTTGTGACGACGGTCGTTTTTCCCGTGTGCTCTTCATTTGTTAGCTGGAACCCGCTAAATACTGGCTATCAAAATAAAGGAAATTGGGTTTTATATTACAGGGAAAAGGCAAAACCTTAAAATTGCTCTCCTATGACGGAAGTTCCTCTTTTGTACTTTGATTTGTCTAAGGTTTTATAGTTTGATTGCTTCGGGCCTCCAGGAGCAAACTTTTCACCTTTTGTATAAGGGATGTGGGTTAAGGAACCATTGCAAGATAGGATACATGTTCTATTTTGTTAAAGTAAACAGTGTTTAGAAGAAAAAAAACCCATCTGTTCTTGCTGTTGCTGTTGTTGCCATTCTTGATGATGATGTTGTTGTTGTTGTTGTTGATGATGATGATGATGATGATGATGATGATGATGATGATGATGATGATGATGTTTTTACAGTTGCTGTTGTTGCATACTGTTCTTGTTCTTATCACCATTTGTCTTACCCTTTTCAGATACAAGTTCGAGAACCAGGATAGCTCAGTCCGCGAGCTGTTCGGTCCCTGGGCATACCGAACAAGAGGCTCCTACTTTGCCATGGACACGGCCGGTCTTCGCGACAGTTACCTGGCCACTGATTGGTTCATGCGTGCCAAAGCGCGGTTCTCCACGAACTTCTCGGGGCTCAAGAAATACAAATCTAGGACGTTCGTCAGGTGAAAAAGTTAAATATGTGTTTATGTAACGTCAAATTTGTATGTTTTAAATAAATAAATGAATTTTTAAAAATAATTCATTCATTCATTCATTTAAAAGAAATAAATAAATAGATTTTTTGTAATGTAAAAATTTTTAAAATTATATTGAAAAAAATAATGAAAAAGAAAGAAAAAAAAGGGGAGGGAGAAAAAAAACTGTACGAGTGATTTTAATGACTGTGAATGTTTTAGGCCACTGTCGACACATTGCCTTCGTTTGTCGTGTCGTGTCGTGGTTAGGGGCTTTGCTTCCCCAATTAGAAGTCCCGAGTTCGATTCCCGAGCGAGTGGGGAGAATTGTAGCCCAATATATATGTCTTCCTTCTGGGATGTTGCTTCCCTTTTACCTCTAAAGCTATTTAACTTGTTTGACGTCCATATCTGAAAGTACAGAGTTAAATAGGTGTAGAGTTTTGAAACCTTCCCTGACAAAATATGTTCAATAACACCGTGCGTAGTGTTCAAAAGAACTAACATACACCATCGAGGTATAAATTTAGATCACTTAGAAAGCGGGTTTCGATCCTGCCTCTCAATGCCAACACGGTCTGGGAGTGATGCAACGTCCCAGCAGAAAGACCAATACACTCGATAAAAATTCGTCTTTTCTAATTATAACCAGATACATCTCTTGTTTGTGGGCAGTGAGTTTATTTGTTATTTTTAAAAAAAGTAGGTGCGTCTCTAGTCGGTGGGCAGTGGGTTTGGTTTTTTAGAAAATACTGATAATGAATATAATAATAATAATAATAATAATAATAATAATAATAATAATAATAATAATAACAACAACAACAACAACAACAACAACAACAACAACAACAACAACAACAACAATAATAATAATAATAATAATAATAATAATAATAATAATTATAAACGCTTCAAAATAAACGTTGTAACGTTTAGCTAACGGAGGAAAGTCTGCTATCAGCACTGTATTGTACGTGGTTTCAGCCAATTCCAGCTTTACAAGGTGACTGGAAGAGTTCAAATCCGCTAGCAGTGATTGGCAGGTAGAAGGTGACTAAAACGTTTTAGTGCTATACCCTGCCCGGCATGCACTGGGCAAAACATAGAACAAGTCAGAAGTACATAATGTACTACATTTGATTAACATTACCACACGGGAATCGAACTCATGCCCTTTGTGCGCCACGTGGAAGACCTTAACTAATACACCACGAACCTCGATGGGAGAAAGTAAGATCATAATTTGAAACACGCCAGCTATACTCAAAAAGGTGGTTAAGAAGTTCTACAACAACTGCCTGTTTTATTATGAACAACACTGTGTCTTCCTATGTACTAGGTTCAAAATGTCTGTATTCAACTGTAACATTCTACGACCTTTTTTATACTATGTTTAGAAAGAGGAAATGTATCCCAAAGTTGTATTCCTATTTTGCTTTGTGTTGTTTCTTTAAAGATTCATTTTCCTTATAACCTTTTCTATAACCTATTACTGTTTTCCACGCGGTTTGGAAATCTGCGTGTTTATAACAATGACTGCGTTGGGAGGTTTGTTAAATTACCCTTACTCCGTTTCAAATGTGATTATCCATGATGAAGCTGCTTCAATTTAAACAAAATGAAAATAGTTCTGGAATAAGCTGGAAACATTGGTTCCAATGAGTTCATGTTTAGAATTTCATCCGTGCCGTTGCAAAAAAACAAAACAAAACAAAAAGAAACTTCGTTTGAAACTTCGTTTTTATATTGATTATTCTGACGCAATTGAATAACGTGATACGTTCTGTTTTTCTGTTTTGTTTAAGAAATAGAATTAGTATATATGTAAGACTACCCAGGTGAGGATCAATCCAAGGTCCTCGAAAGTAGAACAGAAGCTTGTTTGAGCTAAAAATTACAATTCATAGATTATGGGGGGTACGGGGCTCTCGTTACCTGGAGGTTAAGGTGTTCGCCCTTTCATTCAAAGGTCCCGGGTTAGAATCCGGGAGGCGACGGAAAAATGTTCTTCTCTAAAATGTTCTCCTTTCACCTTCTTTCCTGCTCTCTAACAATGTTCTGTCGTCTCCTTCTTCTGCCCCCACCCCCTCAACTCATTTCCCCCTTTCCTCTGGGCTCCTGACGCTTTCTGCAGCCTTTCTACTGTTTCTCCTTGGCCCCTTCTTACTGCTGTCTTTCAGCCACACCCCTGGTCTTCTGGTAGGAAAGATCTACACCTAATCTTCTCGGACAAGAGCGAAAAATCTTGAAGGTCCCGTGTACAAGTTGTGCACATTAAAGATCCTTTGGTTGTCTAAAATCGATAAGAGTAGACTTCAGCCGCCACCCGGACAAAATCTAAAATTTCCTACCAACTGAAAATATTTAATGTGTCCCGCGCGCTCATATGACCTTATGCAGGTGCCATCTCCGTAAAACACTTACAAAAACAAACAATAGATTGTGCTTTTCTTTGTCATCAAGGAAATCTGTTCACAAAAGAAAAATTGGGATTAAAAGATATAAGTTGATGTGAAAAGGGTGTCTTCGACATTATAATATATATGTATATTTATATATATATATAATATGTTTCCTAGTTGGAAAACAATAATAGCATGTAAGTTCTCAACCCATCTTAACACAGATTGAAGTCTGACATGAAACACACAACACCCTCTCTCTCTCTCTCTCTCTCTCTCTCTCTCTCTCTCTCTCTCTCTCTCTCTCTCTCTCTCTCTCTCTCTCTCTCTCTCTCTCTCTCTCCCTCATTTTCTTTTCTCTATCTTTTTTCTGCTATCTTGCGTTTTTTTTTTAATAAGCTGTTGTAACTGTTAGTTTTACTGAAATATTTTCTAACCATTTTTGCCCTTATCACTCAGAAGCAGTACAGGCTAGTGGAGCCCCCAGCCTCGCGTTCAAGGCGTTGTTTTTCTGGTACCGTGCTGCTGCTGCAATCGCCAGGTGTGGGACTGATAAGCTTTTCATAACCACGGCTGGAATGTTTGTGGGAATCCTTATGCTTTTCTCAAATAATACAATGTAGTTGCCATGACAGTTTCGTTCACGCATTTGATAAGTGGTAAACCAAACGTTCTTTTTTTGTGCAATGTTTAAACAGATTCATTTGGTAGAGATTGTATACAATGAAATATTTGAGAAAAAGTAAAAATTAAAGTTGTTCCCGCATCCGATCCGGACATTGGGGATTGCCTTGTTAGTGAGACAAGTACAGATGGTAATTTTTTAAAAAGAGGTTTAACTCATCAAGTACACGCTGTTTTTAGAGCAGTTAAAAAAAAAAAAGAAATATGAATATATATTTTGAAGGTGCAAGATTATTCGTAAAGACTGTCAGCTGTATGTTTTTGGGGGTTTTCTTTGTCTGAAACTCATAAAGGCTGGCAACAATATATGCATACTAAAGAACATACATGTTTGAATTTCTGATTTGTCTAAGATCGTTCGAAGTGTTGAGCAACGTTGCCTTTGGTCAGCTGAGTGTGAGACATAATATGGGAGGCCCTGTGGTGAAAGCAGGCGCTCGTCAAACTAATAAAATCGAAGAAACAGGCATT